CAAAGGAACAAACCAATGTGATTTATACTGGAAGGTCCGAGACTGTGCGCAATTTTTTTGCGCTCATACACTGTGCATGAATTTCGCGACAGAAACGAGTCTAATAGTTTTGTTGTTCGCATAAACGTAAATACCCATTTTCCTATGTACACAACCAAGGCCAAAAAAGCAAACAAAAGCACACCAAAAACAATTGTGTTGGGCTTTATATCCACTACCCTCTATTTAACTAAAGCTCCCTGTATAAAATCTCTTGCAACACCAAGTTAGTACTTGTCTCTTAAGAGTTCCATAAGTATTTTAAAAATATATTGGAGATGTATTGAGAAAAGCTGTTTTATGAAAGTTCCATAGTGTTATAAAAGCGATTCTCGATTTTCAACTTGCATGAATGTATTTTTACAGTTAATTTTCTCGCTGTAGGAGCAAACATACTGGAAGACGAGGGTACCTCTTCTCATACTTTCCGAAGTCGTCTGCTTTCAGTAGACGAGCTGCATTATCTGGATGTACCCAAAGTTGAAACAATCAGGGCATTCGACGACTTTGATTGCAACTTTAGATGCCTCAACAATCCTTTGTGCTTTTCTGTGAACCTGGCCACCACCAAAGATCTCAGTGGAAAATTTCGGTGCCAGTTACTGTCTTCTGATAAGTACAGTAATGCCAAAGACTTTATGGAAAGCCAGAGTTGGCACCACTTTTCCATCATGGTAGGTCAATTTTAACAAATACACGTGCCAATTTGTTATCCTACTTTGCCTTCTTTCCTTTTCTTACTTTCCTACTTTCCTGGGTTTTGCTGCGAGACCTAACAAGAAAAACGTAAGCCTTGTTTTTGTGGGCATTTTGGCAAGACACTTAACGGTAATGTTGGAGGCAACACTGCAGTGGACTGGCATCCTATTCAGGGATCAAGAGAATTACTCGTTTAGAATTGAATTANAGTCGTTTCATGCTACAGAAACCGGGATAAGCTCCGGCCTGATGGGCCACTTGGCTGACATGCAGACTATTCTACAATCTGCGGGGTAGCAAAATCTATTTGAGATGACAATTGTGTAACTTCGCTTCGTTTAAAGTATTCACTTGTTAATGAAGACCCGTGCTGACTTGTCGACAGGTTGACCACCAGTGAGCTGGTTACGCTTCAGTTTGGCTCAACATCGACTTCCGTTCGCTGTCAGATGGGTGATTTTGGATGTGGAGATGGGGGATGGACGCCGGTCATGAAGATGGACGGCAACAAGGTATAGCAACATCAGGTCTTATATGTTACGTGTTAGGCATAGCTGCTTTGAATTAAAGGTAAGAACTAGCTGCGCATAATTTAATAGATGTAAATTAGCTATCTGGCATGTTTTGTCACTGCGTAGACGCAACAAGATCATTCTCGGTTGTTTTCTAAGAACAAAGACAAATCTTACGTCTGGAATAGTTTTCCATTCTCCACCCAAGAGCTAAACAGCTCAAATATCTCACTGCTATGTAAAAAAAAAAAAAAAAAAAAAAAAAGAAGCAAGGAAAAAAAAAAAGTCATGTTGGTACTGATTTTGAAATTGTATTTCTAGCATTTTACACAGGCGCACTTTTGGAATTTGCTTCGCCCATCAATAATCAACAATCTAGTTCCAAGCGGCCGCGATCTTTCGCGGAAAATGAGCCAGCATTAGTTACAGCAGTTACTCTCTTTACACATGTTCAGAAACAGTTGTTAAACTTGAACGCATGTGCACAATCAAACCGGAAGCAGGATTTTCGGGTTCTGGTTTTTGATTTCATCCACAACGTCGGGCTTTGGGTCACCGCTGACCCAACTTAACGCCCGGGTTCTGTGGACGAGATTTCCCAATCAAGGTTTGCTAAAATATTGATTTTCCTATGACTCTTAGCTCCCCGTAGAATTGACGTATTCAGTGATTATTTTCTATCATTTTTCAGACGACGTTTCATTATGACTCGGGGCACTGGAACGATACAAACGATTACAACCTTCCTGGAGGAGAGACTGGGTTTGATTCGCAAGAGACAAAGTTACCAAGCTACTGGAACACACCCTTCTCCAAGATTTGTCTTGGTATGAAGATCAACCAACAGGTCAAGTTCATTGTCATCAAGAAGAACGCCAACTCTCTGTATTCGCTGATTGCTGATGGGAGCTATCGCACAACTTCTTTAGGTCGCGACACGTGGAAGGCGCTGCTTGGCTCACAAGCCTCCTTGCAGACCGATTGTAACAGGGAAGGGTTTAACACCATCTGTGGCCACTCCGGGGACCCGGCTAGAGCAAGGATTGGTATTAATGGTAACGACCAAAACGACTGCACAAGCTGCGATTCTAGAATCGGGTTTGGTACAGGAGGGTATCCTGATGACAGCAACACGTGTGGCAATGAAGCAACAGCATCCCCAGATAATGGCATTAAAAGCATCAAATCTATGGGATATATCTTGGTGCAATGAAAAGGGATTGAAGAAATCAGATGCAGCTTGATATGTGGATTATTTCTGTGCCTAGCGTATCGTAGTTGGACGAGCCTGATAAAGTTATAGGGCACAAAATATACTTAAAAAACTCACTTAATACTAGTTATTGTACGAACTACAGTCGAACCTCCCGCAAGCGACCACCCAAAATGTCAAGTTTAGGCGGTCGCTTACGGGTGGTCGCTCACGAGAACTTAAGACCATTGAGTCAACATTTTGCCTCATAAGCATATGGTAACTGCAGAGACTTACCCATGTTTTAAATGTTTCACTCATGCGAAAAGTCAATTTCGAGAAAAAAATCCTGTACTTCCCATAAAGAAAATTCCGTCTCTTGTACAACAAAGGTTACAACACCTTATTATCCAATTTACGCTCTATTATTTGTCAAGTGGTCGGTTAAGGAAGCTTAAAAACAAAAGAACATTTCAAACTTTTAACTCTGAAAGTGGTCGCGGTCGCTTACGAGAGGTGGTCGCTTACAAGAGGTTTCAAATATAGTGATTTGACTTTAATTTGTTATTTTGGAAAACTGGTCGCTGGCGAGAGGTGGTCGCTTACGAGAGGTGGTCGCAACCGGAGAGTCGACTGTATTATAGTTTGATAAAATATATTTTGGGGGAAATCGATAAACAGAAAAACTTCCATTCTGCGTTAATCAGAGTGCTATTCCGGCTTTTAAAAAGAACGAATTGTCGATTTGCTTAGCGCTTGAAACTTCAAAAAGTTACCAACATTTTAGTTCATGCTTACCGAAAATTCATTAAAGAATTTCAAGCAACTTTCTTAGTTTATTTAGATTATCGACTTACTTTAATCAGCTTTTATCGCACCTCTAATGAAGCTAACTTAACATGCGTAGTTTAGTAAGGTAAAGAGAGAAACAGATACCATTTTTCGCAGTCTTACAGGCACAGACAAGTGAGAGAACTTTTTGTCCCACCTGTGAATGAGTAGCTACATTCCATTGCGTTGCTATTTCGTGTCTTGATAACCTCGTCATTTCTTTTTTAACAGGCCAAGATACAAACAGAAAGACACTCAGAGTGATATTACTATCCACGTGAGCAACATTCGAGTCACACGACCGGCCTTCCTAGACTATCCCGGGATTTCCACAACCGGGAGTGATGTAAATGAAAAATAGCTTGAGAAGAATTACTTTGGGATTAAGGCCTATATGGGAGATTCACTCTCTCACCAGCACCCTTCATCCTCTCTTGGCGCTTACTACTCGACCCCTTTCTTATTAGTGAATTGTCGTTAGCACACTCAAAAACGACGTTTTGCTAAGTTAAAAAAAAAAAAAAAAAAAA